TTGACCTGAATTAGCTTCGGCGTTTGAAAACATTGAAGTACAAAACATCTGATTGGCTTTCACGGGGGTTGGCATAACAGCGTAGCACGACGCCCGCGAAAACGCAGTCAATGGGTGCAACATGATGAACTATCTATAGGACGATGCGCAACCTTGCGTAACCGTCCTGGACGTTGACTAGCTAATTCGTCTAGGTTACTTTTTATCAGTAGATAAATTGATTATTCTTTTATTTAGTCAGCTATCTAAAAAAATTGTTGAATAAGAGGTTATAGATCATTTTATTATGTTCCTTTAAATCAATGGGGAAACACCCAAACATCTGTTTTTGGCAAAATTGATTTGTAGGGCCCCTCTAGATATCCATCCCCCCCCCCGCCCAACTGCTTAACGTATTTTGTGGTCAAACCTTTAATTCTTGGCTAGGGAGCGTAAATTAATATGTAACTGTGGCGGTAGTGATCAAACAATATTGAATTAAATAAGATTGTTTGCTGTAATATGCTAAATAGAATTAAGTTAAACCAACATAGACTTCAATCGCGTAGAATACGAAAGCTAATTGAGGAAAATTTGACTTAATGTAGGCGGAATTTAACGAAAAAATTCAGTCAGGTTACCGAACATTTAAAAGTAGTTTTTTTATCATAAGTCGACGGGATTTTTCGGCCTCTAAAGTTTATTTGCTTAATTACCACATAAATGTAAAGGCCTGATGCGAATTATCGAAAACAAACATATGCTCGCCAATTCATCTTCTGAATTATATAATACTAAAAAGTAACCTAGACGAATTAGCCAAACTACAAGCTTTAAACATTTTAATCTTAACAAAAAAAGTATGCAATATGGAATTAACTAAAAACAGAAGTAATCTACAATAAAAGAATACGTGAAACAACATGCAAACACAGGGAAACGCTGCTCTAAGAAGAAGCCAATCAAGGTACAGAAGGGATACGCAAGGTTACGCATTCTCTTATAGGTAGTTCATATCGGGTGCAATGTGAAGGAGTGAAGATGGGGGGGAGGCATATAAGACGAGAATTGACACACACAGAGAGAAACAAGTGAAGTGGACTTACTTCCTGATCGGTCCAATCAATCTTCCGAAAGAGCTTCAGGATACGATTCACAGAATTCTTGTCCAGGTCCCGAAACAGAAGATGGCGCAGGAAGCGTTGTAAAGGTGTCAGTTCAATTGCACCAAACTGTGCGGGCGGAATGGGGAAGCGGAAGGAGAAAATAAATCAACAAGTCTGTTACATGTCCACAGAGCTTCTCACATAAAAAACCCAAAGGTTTAAGACCTGGAGAACCATCGAGGGGACGGGTCTCTGCTGGCCTAGATGCTAGTCACGCAGAGCGGCTATAGGTGGCAGGTAGTGATATGGCTTTCAATGCAAGGTTATTTGCAGGGCCTCGGGTCTGGTGAATAAGTAATTGGTGATTAGTAGCGACAGTGCTAGCAGTTCCGAGCCGAGGACTGTCTTCTAGGTGCCTTCATTCCCACGATGATTCATCGCACAGAAAGGCTGCCACACTACCTGCTATGAGGGTGTGCAGTTGGACCGTGGCTATAGATCTCTCTTTAGACCTGAGTGGTCGACATTTGATCATCAAGTGGATCAATAAATACACGCAACCCTTTTGTGAGAACGACTTGCTATTTGTAATACATGCTAGTCCACCCCATGCTGGCTATGGGAATAAGTGTTCGGCAATCCCACGGCTTCGTGTTAATTACAAATACCAGACAACGTTCAAAATACAGGCACAACACAAAACTGAACGACGGTATTCTGACACGGCCGTCGGGAACCACCATCACATAGGTTTGCTTAAAGCAAACCATGCTGCGGATTTGTGGGGGCGGGCGCATTGCTCGGGCCTGGTCAAGTTACGCGGGCGAATAGCACGCAAACTAGACTACTTAATCGAAGAGGCACTTTTTGGTACTGGGTACCGAAATGGGTTAACGTTCCTGGATCCCGATATCGAGAGTCTGATGGCGTGCAGTCTTTATAAGCATAATATGGATGTCTGCTGTCTACCTAAAGGCTCAATGATCGCTTGGGGATCTGGCTTGTTGCCGATTAAAGACTATTCTACGGCCCAAATAGGTATAGGTCTATTTGGGCCGAACCATTTAAATCAAATTTTGGTCTTGACTCATGTTCCTTGAGTAGGCATAAAAATTGAAAAATGAGCACTGGAAAAAGTATAATTCGAAGAGAAGAACTAAGTTAGGAAAACTATAACAAACTTCATTATATAAATTTTAGACGCTGGTTTTCGAGGTCGTCGTCAGTACAGTTATAAGTTTAAACGCGCCCGAAACAATCGATAATTTATAGTTATTGTTGCGAAAGATGGCAGCCACTCCGGAAAAATGCCAAACCACAAAGACACCTACTGGCAAGAATGACTTGGAATTATTCAGTTTTCCAGGTAAGTTTAGTTATTCTGCAGACATACTGCACGTCTGACGACGACGACCTGGAGAACTAGCGTTGACATTTTACAGCACAAAGTTTGTAAACGTTTCCGAGATAATTTTGTTCCTTCGAAATATATAAATATACAAAATTATGTCCAAGGAAAAAAAACTTGCTAAGCCTTATGTGAAAATGAGCGAAAAGCGCAAAGCTAACATTAGTGAGGGAGGAGCGAAATTAGAGGGCGGCCAATTATAACGCGC